CCGTTATTTTACCAGGCAAGTCCCATTGAAATCTCAGATCTGTTTTTCAAGGGAGGCCTGGGCCTGAAAGTAACCCATTATACAAGTTTTGGGGGTGGGGGAAATGGAAGTACCCGGAGAAAACCCACGCAAGCACGAGGAGAACATGCAAACTCCGCACAGAAAGACCCCAGGTCCGAACCGGGGATCGAACCCAGGACCTTCTTGCTGTGAGGCGTCGGTGCTAACCACTGAGCCGCCGTGCCGGGCTGCACAATATCTCAAATATTTCAGCATCACAATATCAGTGTGCACAATATTCTTATTGCAAAGGATTGTTTGGAATGCAATAATTGCTAACTAATGTATTTCAAAAGTTGTGTTTTTCATGCTAATGCATTAGCCAGTAGGACAGAATCTCACGGCAGCTCACACCAGACGCAAATGATCTTGCCAAAAATGCTAAAGTTCACATTAAGAAGTACAGATTAGAAAGGGAGGAAAGAAAAAAAGGCACGTATTATACCTGATATCGTCATTGCAATATTTATAAAAATTATCACCATTGCAAGATTTTCTAACATTGTGCAGCCCTACTGTTGCCGTTCTGTCAGCTCGAACCAGTCTGGCTATTCTCCTCTGGCGTCAACAATGAATTTGCGTCCACAGAACTGCCACTCACTGGATATTTTCTCTCTTTCGGACCATTCTCTGTAAACCCTAGAGATGGTTGTGGGTTAAAATCCCAATAGATCAGCAGTTTGTGAAATACTCAGACCAGACCATCTGGCACCAACAACCATGCCATGTTCAAAGTCGCATAAATTACCTTTCTTCCCCCATTCTGATGCTTGGTTTGAACTGCAGCAGATCATATTAGTCATATGATTGGTTGATTCAACATTGGTGTTAATGAGCAGTTGGAGAGGTGTACCTAATAAAGTGGCTGGTGAGTGTACATCTCACTCACAGCATTTTATACTGTATGTTATGGCCTTTTTGGCCAAACCTTACAAATAAGATGATTAATCTCATTGACATTCCAAAATCTGTCACAACTTAGTGATATGCATTGAGGATACCTATCAGTCACTATCTGACTAAATTATAGCTCAATATCTGTAAAACTCACTATGTTTGTGTTTCCAAAATCAGATGGTTGTAGAGATCATCTTAAGACTGACTCCAAAAGTTATTTTATTGTAGATGTGCAGTCATGAATTATTTACTGGATGTCAGACAGGCTGACTTTACCCAGTGCTGTTGTACAAACAGATAGTTAGCAAGAAGTTAGCAACTGAACTCTGTTTGTGACAATGCTCAACAGTTACCAAAACATATTTTAGCTTAGTTAATCTAAATTATAGCTGTTTTTTTAATGTTTTCTGTTGTTGCTTAGAGTTGGTGGTTGTTTCGAATGAAGTTGACTAAAAGTTAAACAGTAGTGTAGAGGATACTCCATCATAACTTCTCATATTTAACCTAATTAATATCGACTAATATTAATATAGTTAATATATGAGGAAACGGGTTCTTTAAGATTTTAAATACTAATAATAATAACCAT